CCCCTCCCCCCTCGGCGGCGCAGCCGCCTGCGTTCGATTTGTCTGTGCCCGCCCCCTTGTTCCCCGAATCGTTGCTTCTCTGTAAAGTACCCATTGCAGCGTCTACTGATCCGTATCTCTGACGTCATACACGACGCTTTTCTCAGAAGTTTTTTGCCGCGCGACTTCATTGTTATCTGGTACGCATTATTATTATTTTTTATCTTTAGAAATCTTTCCAGCTCACAGCCGTTAGAACTCCTTGCCGGAGTTTGGAGTCCAACATACGCAATATTCTCCAATCGTTTGACAGGAATTCATTTTTCTTTTTTTAATATACTACTAAGAAGTACAGAGAAAGTTTCGTAATGCTGCAGCAAAAAAACTGCAATTTTTCGACAGAAAACTTGTTTTAGATGGTCCCTGATACCAGATGGTGGCTAATTATTGCCTCTATATTGAACTATTTTCTCTAATACCTAGTGTAGTAAGAATCTATATTCACTGCACCATTGCGAATTTTCATACGAATCCGAAACGTAGCAAGAGAAAGCCAATTTAAAAAGACAGAAAGTCAAAATATTCATTGTTTTTAAATTCCCATTATAAAGTTTGATATCACACTATAAATGTCATTGTACGTGTCATTGACTTGGAAATGTATGGCATAACAGAATAACATGAATAATGCCTTTCAAATTCCAGTTATTTAATTAGAAGAAATTTGAGCTGTTGCCTTTTCGAATTCAGCTTTAATAGAGCTTGTATCGGGAGTCTGTGTTCCGTTAACGGAGATACCTTGAGCCAGAAAAGCGCGTAGGCGGATGAGTAGGACAGAGTCGAATCTCATGTTCCACAGAAGAACACCGACATCTCCCGCGATATAACATTCACTTCACTTACGGGAACAACGACCTAGGTAGTTGACATATCCGAAAAATCTCTCACTCATTCACGTTATAATTTGGCACATATTGACAGAGTGTTTAATGCTACAATTATTAGATGAACATATTGTATCGTAAAGAAGACAGAATATTGCCTCACGTCTTTTTCTTGATTCCATAATGTTATGGTTATCTAAGGGTGGAAACAGGCTAGATACACCCTGCGCAAATAAACTTACAATAGGAACGCTAGTAGCGAAGTGTTAACGCCCGATTGCCCGATTTATAATTCTTTGGGTAGAACATGAAATATGACACACTTTTTAATATTTTAATTTAAATTTAAATATTTTACTTCTCGTGGTATGTCACTCTGTAGAACAGGAGTCCAGAAATGTGCATAATCTCAAAATTAATATCAATTAACTGAGCTATTTGATGTTCTGTGTAATTTAATAACAATAAACAGCGTTTTTGTTGGTCAATAAGTGGTTGTTCAATACGACAATATTTTCCAATGCACTGTGCCGGGCCTCTTAACACTCACTCTGTGCAAGCGGTGCGATAATGGATTACAGAATAAAGCTATTTTTACATTCAAAACAATGATCTACTAAGAGCGCATGCTTCCACGGGTTCAACTTATTTTCAGTACACATATACAATAATGGAGAGAAGAGATAGAGACGAGAGACAGAAAAGAGATAGAGAGAGAGAGAAAGAAAAAGAGAGAGAAATAAATAAAAAGAGAGAAATAAATAAAAAGAGAGAAATAAATAAAAAGAGAGAAAGAAAGAGAGAAAAAGAGAGAAAGAAAGAGAGAGAAAGAGAGAAGAGATAGACAGAGGGAAAGAGAAAGAGAGAAGGAAGGAGGGATGGAGTTTAACTCTGTATGTATCCCAAATAAAATATTTTTGGAGCCCAAAGATCCACGATCTACTGATGAACTAAATCCTTACCATTTTACGAAGATGCAATTACTCTGTGAATTACCACTTTCTCGGAGAAAGACCGGCAAGACACCTGCCATTCGCTCGACTCTCGCGTACTCGTATTTCGAAAACTACAGAGCAAGCAGCGACCAGCTGTCGTTTGCACTCAGTCTTTTAGCGTCAGTTGCTGCGCGAGGTCGCACGCTAGTGGCGCTTTCATTGGACTCTGCAAATCCAGACGCCTTTCGAAGCCACTCAGCTACACTTTCCAGCACCACGTTCATCATTCACGATCACCGCGTTACAACGTAATAAAACTAGCAGTAAGAAAAAACTGTGGAAACCATACAGCCCCAGAGGATGTTGAGATATCGCAAAAGAGAGGTGAATTTGGAAAAGGCACGTGAACGTAAGACGTAAGATATTTAGGGATACACAAACAATTACAGCTTTTTTTTTAATTTCCATTTAAATTCTGAGTTAACTTTGCAAATATGAATCTGCTTCAATATGTCAAATTCATGATGAATGCAAATGTATATAGGGTGGAACAACAAAGTGATAACAATCGTGCGAGATACGAAGATGCCGTTTGGATAGTCGATTGCTCAAACAGAGGCTACTTGATTGCAGCGTACTTCGTCTTTGCACTATTGTTTACTAGGAAAATATAAGGTCAACTTTATTTTTAAATAAAACCCTATGTTAAATTTAAGTATGTCGTAATGTGCTTAAAACACAATTTCAAATACGTGCACATTTTTATATTTCATCCAATAGTTTTTTAGAAATTGATGTGTTCTTGTAACATACTTTTTCAATGATTCTTTTCTTTCTTCATAATAAATGAGAAACTTTGCGAGTCTGTCCTTTAGACAAACGCCCTTATTTATTTGAGTACAGTAACAACTACTTTATTCAATACTAATTTTGCTGAAAGATGAATTTTGCTTTTTCCTAGAATCGTCCTCAAACAAGTACATCGTTTAAAGACAATTACTGGTGTAACTGCTTCTAGAAATTATTCTATCATTTTCATTTTAAAGTGAATTACAGTCTTTTCTCATGAGTACGTGTATGAAATAAATATTATTTAAATAAATAATAAACAAACATTTTTAATTAAATCAAGTC